CTTCTCCCTTGTTTAAGCTGACTATTTCTAATTTCAGGTGCTGATATGATAAAGTATGGACACCTGTTTCCTAGGTTTCCATTTCGGAGCTTTGAATGCTGTTGGTCAATTCGTACTAAAGGCATCCATAGAAAGGACAAAAGTACTCCCTCCACAGCAAGTTTTTAATACAGATTTCTCGTTTTTTTCAACTTATGTAAGTGGTATTGTTTTGTATGGTTAAAATAAGGAGACGATCAAAGTCATCTACCTACAAATCATCAAGGAGCTGATATTATAGTTGTAGAGACGATCAGCACTTAATCAAATAATGCTTCCTATGATAGCAAGTTTAGAGATAGGGTTATGAAGTGATCTGAACACAACTAAAACAGAGTAGGGGGATAAAGAGGAATGGGAATGCTAATTTAGATAGGGTGGTCAAAGAAGCCTTCCCTCAGGAGATGACATTGGACCAGAGACCTGAATGAAATAAGGGAAGGAAGTATGCGACTGTCTCATTCATTATGTGACCAAGAGCTGGTTATGGCGCTTGTTAACTGCATCCTTTTGGTTCTTAGTCACGCTTCTTTATATGGGTACTGAACTATTTATATTTCTATGACTTACTTAGTATGCCAACCAGATTTTACAGTCTGGGAAGGAAGTGCCTCTGCTTCCTGTGTCCTTTAAATATCCTCCACTGGTGACACAGTCCCTATTACTAACTTCGTACTTCTTGGATGGTTGCTGGTCAGTTCTGTAAATGAACTTGGATCTAGAAGTCCTTTGAAGAGAAACGGGCATTTAAAGACCCTATCGGAGGAAAGCTGCTATGGTGTGGAGGAAATAGTCTTGGAACCAAGAAAATTGGGTTTCAGTTTCAGCTCACCGCTGTGTGAACTTGAACTTGTCACCTAACTTTGCTGAGTGTCTTTATCTATAAAATGGGGATGATAATGTTTAATTCACATAATTGTTGTAAAAGTCAAATGAAGTAATATAAAAAATGCTTGGTATGTTACAGGAAACCAATAAATGTTAGTTGTCTTTGAGTATTTGCAACCTTGAAATATCCTCAAAGATAACAGGCTAGGGTTGGTTCTTAGAATAAAACAATTCTTAAACCTGTTACACTCTACTAAAACATAGACATAAGAAATTTATGTTAATATCATATTTCATCATGTTAATTATTGGTAACACTGAGTGCTTGCCGTGTTCTAAGAACTATTCTAAGCATGCTACATGAATTAGCTCATTTATTCCTCACCTAACTATACAAGACAAATAATATTATTTTGCTTATCTAACTCATGAGGAAAATGAGCCACGAAGAGACTAAATCACCTGCTTATGGTCACATGACAAATGGTAGAGTTGGGATTATGAACCAAGATAGTTCCAGAACTCACATGCTTAAATACCAAAGTATACAACTGCAATTTAAAAGACTATCCTAT